AACAGTGGGGAAGTTTCAGGACCCCCTGTAAGAACACCCACTCCGCCGGAAACTGTCACGCAGAGATTCCAGATGACGGTGGTCCGTTAAGGAGCTTTTATGTTGGAAGCGATTACGAAAGCAACCACTGTCGGAATCTGCTAGTGACTAGAGTAGCCATGTCTGAGGGGCTCCGTCACAGACAGAGGTTTGTGGACTTGAACAAACTCTGAGGGGATACGATTTTACGCACAAGCAGCTCATCATCCCATCACATAACCATAAAACCTTATTTAACATACTGAATAAAGTTGACAGAAATAATACAGGAGAACTTCAAAAATGAAGAAATTACTCTCTAAAGTCAATTATGGTTTTGTCTACCAATAAAGGCAGCTTCAACACAGACTTATTGTCGGCTTTAACACATGAATTACAAATGTAAGCGTTTGTTTAAATATTGAAAATGCTTTAAGAATTACCATTGCCTCAACAATGCATGAAAATCATTGTGGAGCTGAACACTGCAAAATAACACTGCAAAATAACAAAAGCTTTTCCTTAAATGTCACATATGTCAATCAGGTCCAAAAAACATGAGGCAGTTGCCAAAAATGGCAGTCAGATGTCAGATTTCCATTTCACCAAGAATAACAATTTATCCAGTGTCCAGATATCATTACCTGTGCATTTCTTCAACCCAGCTGAACAGTAAAACCACCTATGTTCATTCCTTAATTTTCTAATACAGTTTTTAACAGAACTGTTTATCTAGAAGCTGATCATCAAAGGTTCTTATTTGCCTTCCTGAACAGCAGTTCCCTATCTACTCCAACCCCTGCATTACAAGCTATTGGGAGCACTTCTTTATTTCTTTTTCCTAAATTCATAATCATATCCTGAAGCAAGAGTATTGCTTCTAACAAAGGTCCCAGTGAACATCTAAAAGGAAAAAGGGGGAAGCAGATAACAAAATTATAAATGTGATTAAAAAAACATTTATGGGTATAATTATTCTAGAACAGGCACATCATCTACATGCAGAGCACTTAACATGGGACTCAGCAAAGCTGTTTCTCAGAGAACTGCAGAATGATGGGTTCATCAACATGCCCCCACATAATCCTCATTCAGTTCTCCTCCTTGTCTGGGTACCTATTATAACCACAGGGTGTTTGTACAAAGTGGGAGTGGGAAAGAGAGGTATCTATTAAGCACCACTAAAACAAGTCCTTTCCTTGAGGATGCAGGTGAAATCGTACAAAGAATGAACAGATTAAACAGAGTACCATTTTATTTTGGTGTTTCAGTTCAAACTGTTTGTGCGACTTCAATTTGCATTTTGTGAACCAAGTTGTGGGAATCTGTGACTAAAAAGCATGCTTAAATAACACATCCATGTTGAATTCCAACAAGGCAGATGCACTGTCGATGGATGATTCTCATGCCAGGAAATTTCAGAAAACTACCTGTAGGGTTTCGCATTCGCCCTGAAGGACCAGTTACTCCTGAATTCAGCTTTGTCACTCAAGGCTCAAGTGGCTTCCATGGCTAGGAATACCTACTTTTAGCTATGCATGGTTCACCAACTATGTTCTTTCCTAGGCCAGCATAGCCTGGGCACAGTGGCCAATACCCTGGTTAGAGTACCATAAATGTGTTCTACATCGGGCTCTTCTTGCCACAGGAGTTTTGAACAGCACAGTGAAAAAATGTCATAGAACACCAACTTCCCAGGAGCTGTTCTGGGTGTCTACTTGCTACTGTGCCCAATTTAAAGTGCGATCTGCAGGGGCAGCTTCTCTTATGATCTGTCAACCAGTAAGGCCTGTTGTAAATGTGACTCAGATTAGGGACTCCTCTGTAGCGGTTTTCCGTTTATAGAACTCCCTCTCACCTATTTCCCTCAGTGTTTATATTTCTTTTTACATCAGTGTATCTTTTCATACATTTGGAGTGGATTATAAGCATGTTTTATGCTTGCTGCTGAACTGTGTTTCATTTTTTCCCCAAATCTATTTTTACATTGGTTTAACTTGTGTCATTTTTATATTGTTTAACTCTTGTCATCTGGCTGAAAGGCAGTCTCAAGGTAAAGTAAGTTAATAAGATTAATTGCTATGAATAAAATAAATTTGTAAGAAGCATACCCTCCTAAAATACATCAGATTTTTTATTCTAGGATGTGATAATCTTCCTCACCATTTTGAGTTAGCTTCGTTGAACAAACTAGAGTAGAAATCTGAAAGGAATCTTTACTGATGGTGCAGCTTCCAAGATTTTGCATGCCCTTGCCAGCCGTTGAGTGACCTTTTTCCTCCAATTCTATTTTAGTAGAGGGCAAGCTTAAATAAGTCGAAAAATCTTCTAGCTTCTTTGCTTCTGCCTGCAACATTATTCCCAAATAAAATGCAAATATTAAGTATAGCTGCTGAAAACATTTTTTATTCTGCATTTAATCACAGCTTATTTAATCACAACTTGAATACACTTTCCCCCTCAAAGCTTTCAAAGAGTAGATCAAAAACATGTCACACAGCAAAATTAATGGCTTTTCAACACCTGTTAAACCCACCAATATTCCAAGTTACCTACCTAGAGGGAAGAATGAACAAAAAAGGAAAATGTTTCACATTATCCATTAGAAAAGCTCCAAACTAAGATCTAAACTAAGAAAGCGTAGTGGGCTCAGTAAGTTGTTTTAATTTTTTCTTAAGCAGCTGTATAAAAGTGAAGTTTCACTCTTCTTCCTTATAACCCACATTATTTTTCCGTTACTAAGGGAATAACATCTGAATATAGGCAAAAGCTATATTTCTACATCACACTGTACAAAATAACTATTCCTTAAATATTTGTATTCTCAAAGTACTGCAGCATATGGTTAGAATAATACCTTGTACACTATAAGATCATGCTCTCCATCCCGTAGTGTTGTTCCATCATATCTCATCAATTTAACAAACGCCAGGGCAAATATTTTCTCAGATTTATCTTTGGCTGTTTAAGTACAGAAACATATTGTAAATCAATGATAATGACTACAGATGAAGACATTCAAGAATGCAGACACAGGTTGTTTTAATACCACACATGAAGTCTAGTAAAGAGCCTTATGTTAAATAAGGCTGTCTGTGTTCAGAATAAACTGGAAATTTAGAAATACAGGGTATATCTGAGAGCCAGTGTGGTGTAGTGGTTAAGAGCGGTAGTCTCATAATCTGGGGAACCGGGTTTGCGTCTCCGCTCCTCCACATGCAGCTGCTGGGTGACCTTGGGCCAGTCATACTTCTTTGAAGTCTCTCAGCCCCACTCACCCCACAGAGTGTTTGTTGTGGGGGAGGAAGGGAAAGGAGAATGTTAGCCGCTTTGAGACTCCTTAAAGGGAGTGAAAGGCGGGATATCAAATCCAAACTCTTCTTCTTCTCTTCTTCTATATCCACTTGCCTGTTTGCACTCACAGAATGCAATGTATAAAAGTCTTCTGTTAAAAATGGCTCCAAAATTAAACTCAACCCCCAGCACTATGCGCCAGATTGCAATGAGATGTATACGTAACAGTGACCCAGATGTGCCACTCCACATAAGGCAGCTCATGAGAAGTTATCCATATTTCCCAGCTAGGCATCCACATTCAAACGCCTAGAAGACCAGCTACACAAGCTATTTACCAAATCCCTGATTAATGGAACAAAAGGAGTCAGGTAGAATAGTGAGCTCATGCTCCTTTATGCCTCCTCCTCAATCTCCAAAATTCCAAAATACAGGCAGGGCCCTTGGGCCCTTTGCACACCCTTAAATTGGCTCTCTCTTGCTATGTGGTATTCTGGCCCTGGGCCCATCATAAGACTATACAGTAGCACAGGGGTAGCCAACATGTATCGGTCACATGTTGTCATCTGTAAATCCTATCAGCATGCCTAATGATTGGAGATAATGGAAGTTGTACTCCTAAACCTCTGTAAGACACCATGTTGGCTACCCATACACTACGTGGTACAAGACATAAGGGCTATAGCAGTTTTTCCAAACCTGGTGCTCTTTGGATATTTTGAACTACAACTCCAGACAATGTAGCCAATAGTCTGGAATGATGGGAATTGTGATCCAAAACATGTGGAAAGCATTACTTTAGGAAGTTTGGGCTACAGTGTGCTATTAATCTTCAGGCGGCTTCATACGCTCATGAGAAAGATTATTCAAGAATGTACACATGAAGAAAAAGTGCTGCGAAAAAGAATTATTATAACCAGGTTAGAAATACTTACTTTCTAACATACTGGTTCTTTAGTCCTTAAAGGAAGTTTCCGTGATAGTGTTTAACTAACTGCAAACAGTATTATTTATTCCGGACTATCTCAACTTCTTATGAAGAAGAAGAAGAGGAGTTTGGATTTGATATCCCACCTTTCACTCCCTTTAAGGAGTCTCAAAGCGGCTAACATTCTCCTTTTCCTTCCTCCCCCACAACAAACACTCTGTGAGGTAAGTGAGGCCGAGAGACTTCAAGGAAGTGTGACTGGCCCAAGGTCACCCAGCAGCTGCATGTGGAGGAGCGGAGACGCGAACCCGGTTCCCCAGATTACAAGACTTCCGCTCTCAACCACTACACCACACTGGCTTATGGAGAATGAAATTCAAGTGCTACACTCAATTTAACCAACCTGGACCCTGCAATCATAATGAGAGGCCCTTCTTTGTGTGCCTCCTCCACGAGAGGTCCTGAGGGTGGCTTCCCATTTGTGGAATGCTTTTCCTGAGGAAGCTCGCCTGGTGCCTTCATTGTATATCTTTGAGCACCAGGCAAAAAGATTTCTCTTCAATCAGGCCTCGGACTGATTAATATTCTATGGCCTTTTAAATGTGTTTCTGGGAGGGGGGTTATTGGTTTGTTTCTATTTTTGTTTATTATGTATTTTGTATTCTCTTTTTTATTTTTATGTTGTGACTACCTTGTGATCTTCAGATGAAGGGCGGTATACAAATTTTATAAATAATAATAATGTCTGTTCTTAAAGCCTATCTTCCTCAATTTCTTAAGAAAGAAAGCACTTTGGGGGAGGGCTGTGATTTCAGGACCTTTCCCCACAACCCCTTAAAACACTCTATCTTTATAATAATGTAAGGAAAGCCCGAAATATAATCTACACAGCAGTAGAAAGTTCATGTTTCCTTTTGGGTC